TTAAAGGCCGGTCCATGAAAAATATTGTCGGGCATAAACAGGTCCGTGGCGCAAAAAAGGTTGGAGACCGCTGCTCTAAACTGGTTTATCGTTTATATTAAACAATATTTTAACATAAATTAATTCAAAATTTCCAGTAAAATCGGAAAGTCACATCTAATTATGCAAAAGTTGGAATGGATACTTAAGAAGCACTGATGCAAGGTTGGGTGTTGGTGTTGTAAAGCTAGTATTATGCTCAGTCTCAGTGTTGCTTTTTAGTAAGTGTAAGCATACATCAACGGGACAATCCTCGTTAAAGGAGAGGGAAGCAGGGAAGGTCAACCAACACACTGAGCCCCACGCTTCCACAAAAGGAGAAAATGCCACAATGCTGAAACAAACTTTCCCTTTCTGTCACCTGGTATCATATATCCCGCTTCCCTCACTGCTGAACACCCTTACAAATGCACAAATGCTTCACAGTCTGATACAGAGTGCAAACACTCAACTCCCCCCTTCAAAAAAAGAAAAAGAAAAAAGGGACACAAGGTTTTCATAAGGTAAGAAAAAAGCCGAAATACAGAGCTCTTTTCACAGGCAGCATCTTAAACCAATCCTAATAAAAAACAAACACATGAAACCTTGCTTGTGTGCATTTAGAACAAATCTGTTCCTGGTGTTTCACAGACCGTTTATGCAGAACAACAGAAGTTATTCAGAAGTTAACTACAAGTTGACATGAGAAGTCAACATGCTCCTTCCTTTAACTTTATTACTGCAGATTGTCCTCTGACCCAAAAAACTACGTAGGCTGTTGAAAATACCTGCAAGCTGATCACCTACGCATAAAGCAAGGTGATTCTGCACAAGGGTCAAAACCCAACTCTGCTCCAAAGTGCAGGCAGTTGATTAAAATTTGTGGTTTTTTGGTGTGGTTCTTTCTGGAATAATGTGTTCATACATGTAAAGCCTTTATTATTATCATTTTTATTTATTCCAAAATGGTTGGGTCAAGCAAAGGGTGCCTACAGATATCAAACATTTCTGTCATACTGGCTGCTACAGTCATTGGTTTATGTTTATTGACTCTATTAAATTTAAATATCTGCAATTTTACGCAGTCATCGAAAGAAAATGATTTAAACCCAAAAAGGAAACAGACAAATTAAAGTCAAATCCTTTACAAACAAGTCAGTTATATATTACAGCTTCTTTGAATATGTTTTGTTTGAGCTTTCATTTCAATATTGAAGAAGAAACTAGAGGGATAGAAAGCTGCTGCTCCTCACCATACATCTTCCCCTCATCTGACAGTATGATCTTCCTCCTTCCACAAGGAGGGTAGATGGCCAAAGCTTCCTGAAAGCTCTGCTCAATGTCTGGGCTCCACACCCCTTCAGGATCCCCGTCCAATCCGCGGTCCGCCCCGTCTCCCAGTGCCTCTCCATTGGGACTGGGACCCTCCTCCTGCGCCCCATCAGGGCTGCCACGGCAACTCCACTCCGACGCAATGATGACGGCTCCAGCTACAACACACCTACAACACACGAAACAAGACAAATGTGGAACAGATACACTAAACTGGATCTGACACGTTAGTGTTACAATGTTACAGTGTTACAGTGTTACGCTTTTTGGGGGGTGTGGTGGCTGTAAGAAGGTTTCTCCATTTTGTCTGTCTGCCCTCCTCACAAATGAAGAGGCCAGAGAGCAATAGAGAGACGTTAAACTGGCATCTCTGCACACTTTCACTTTTATACTATTCACACAATTACACTCAGCTTGGATTTAAAATTTAAACCAATAGGCAGAAATACAGGCAACTGAGGAAAAGCCCTTATCCAGGACTAACAAAAATATACAAATACTTGTTACAATACTTACCCTGAACCCTGGTTTTAACATGTTTTCTTCCATGTTGAAGCCAAAACATGATTAGGAAACAGATTTGTTGTTGTCACAGCTACACTGCACTGCAAGCAGCAAGATTTTGAGAAACGGACGCAGCTGTTTTTGTCCTATACAAAAAAAAGCATGTGTACAAACTGTAAACTGTGTGCAGCTAATTCATTTTTGCAGTTAAGGACATTTTAAGCGTCACGTCGGTTCTTATAGAGTGCTTTTTCTTCTGTACCTGAGCACCTGAAGTGCTTTATGCAAGTTGCCTCATTCACCCGTAAGAACACACCTCCAGAAAGTTACACCACGAATTGTTACGAGGCAGGGTGGACCCGTGCTTTCATGTTGTTTACATGAGCCTTGCTTTCCTGTTTTTAGCTAATAGAAACACTCAAAGTGGTATTGTAGGCC